AGGGTCTCACTAAGTTGCTTAGGTGCTCACCAAGTTGCTGAGGCTGGCCTCTAACCTGTGATCCTCCTGTCTTACCCTCTGGAGTCGCTGGGATTATAGGCATGCTGTCTTCAAGATCCACTCATCTTGTTGCATATTTCAGAGTTTTCTTCCTCTTAAAGGCTGAATAACATTTTCTTGTGTATATATGCCATATTTTGTTTTTCTGTGTACCCATTAATGAGTACCTGGACTGTGCCCAATTTTGGCTGCTATGAATAACATTGCTATGAACATGGAGTCCCTGCTCACCATCTTCTACAGATCCAGAGAATTCCCGGATCATATGGAAATCCTGTGCTTAATTTTTGCTACACCCTTCCACATTCCCACCAACAATGCACTAGAGTTCCCATGTATCCATGTCCTCTCACCAACACTTGTTCTTGTCCTTTCTTTCTTTCTTCCATCTTTCGTGTGTGTGTGTGTGTGTGTGTGTGTGTGTGTGTGTGTGTGCGCGCGCACATGCACCCATGCTGCTGGGGGTGGGACCCAGGGCCTCGCCCTTGCTCTACCACTGAGCCACTCCCAGCCCCATTATTTGTCAGTGAGTATGGAGTGGTAATTTCATTGTGGTTTTGTGTTATTCTAATGATACTGGTGTTCAACAGTTTCCATGTGCTTATTTCATAGCCATTTGTCTATCTTCTTTGAAGCAATGACTATTCAAGTCCAATGCCAATGTTTAACTTGGGTTGTTTGGATTTCTGTTGTTGAGGTATAGGAATCCCTATCTGTATCTTGGATGTGTAATTGGCAGATGTGTTCTCCATCCTGCAGGCTGTCATTTGTCTCTGCTATTAGTGTCCTCTGATATTGACTCTTTTTTTAAAAATTTTGATGACATCCAACTTAACTGTTTTTGGTTTTGTTGCCTGTGCTTTTGGTGTTATACTCAACCACTGCCAAATCCTATCTCATGAAAATTTCCCCCTATATTTTCTTCCAGGAGTTTTATAGTTTTATAGTCTGGGTCTTTGCTCCACTTTGAATTAATTCTTATCTGGTGTTAGGTAAGGGTCCCACCCCACTGTGCTGCCTGTGGATGTCCGGTTTTCCCAGGTCCCCATGGTGAAAAATCCTTTCTCCAGTGAACAGAATTGACAACCTCATTTGACCATAAATAAAATGGTTTATTTACAGGCTCTGTCTTGTGTTCCATTGATCTGTGTACCCATCTTTTTGCCAGTAAATCATTGTCTTGATCACTGTAGATTCATAGAAACCAGGAAATGTGAGTTCTTGAGTTTTGTTCCTCTTTTTCAAAATTGTTTGGGCTATTTGARATTCCATGAGTTTTAGGATGGATTTTTTTCCCCCTATTTCTGCATCTACTGTGCTTTTCATAGGGAATTCATTGAATCTATCTAGATTCTTTGTATAGTATTGGCAATTTTTTTTCAGTGCTGGGGATCAAACCCAGGGCCTCACACATGCCAGACAAGTGCTCTGCCACTGAATAACATCCCCAGCCCAATACTGGTGTCTTAAGTATTCTGTTCTTTTCAGTGTTCCATTATATGGAATTGTTTTCTTGATTTCCTTTTCCGATTTCTCATTGTTCATATATAGAAATGCAACTTGACTTTTGTGTGTTGATTTTGTATCTTGCAACTTTGCTCAATCAGTTGATTTCACTGTGTGTTGATTTCACATGACAGAGAGGGAGAGAGGACAAGGGGATCTTTAGGGTTTCTACATATAAAAATCACATCATCTGCAAAAACAGATAACTCTACTGCTTCTTTTCCAATTCAAATGCTTTTCTTTACATTTCCTAATTGCTCTTGTTAGAACTTCCAGGGCTGTGTTGATTAAAAATCTTTGTCTAATTCCTGGTCTTGCAGGAAAAGTTTTCAGTATTTCCCCACTGGTATCAGGCTAGCTTGCTTTTCACATAAAGTCTTTTTATTTTTTTATTTTTTTAAAAGAAAGAGAGAGAGAATTTTTTAATATTTATTTTTTAGTTTTTTCGGCGGACACAACATCTTTGTTTGTATGTGATGCTGAGGATCAAACCCGGGCTGCATGCATGCCAGGCGAGTGCGCTACCGCTTGAGCTACATCCCCAGCCCAACATAAAGTCTTTTTATGTTGAGTACTTTTCTTCTGTCCCTAGTTGGTTGAGTGAAAGTGACTTGAAATRTGCCAAATGCTTTTTCTGCACCAACTGAGACAATCATGTGTTCTTTTCTTCATAATAATGATTGATTTTCATGTGATGAGCCCTCCTTGAATTTCAGAAATTCCAGAAAATTCCTCACTTGGCATGAATAATGAACAATCCTTTCACTATTTGATCGACTTCAGCTTGGTAGTGTCTTCTTGAAGATTTGCATTAATATTCTTAAGAAGGACTGCCTGTACTTTCTTTCCTTGTGATGTCTTTGGCTTAGCATCAGGGTAATTCTGGCCTCATAAAATGATTTAGGAAGTGTTTTCTCCTCTTCAGTTTCTTGGAATGTTGGAGAAGCATTAAATGTTTGATAAAATTCACCAGTGAGGTCTTCTAGTTCTCAGTTTTACTTTCATTTTTTAAAAATTGGTTCTATTTCCTTATTTATGATAGAATTTAATTTGCTATAATTGTACCAGCATGGAGTATATCTTATTCTAGTTAGGACCCTCATTCTTATGAATGTACATGATGGTGGGATTCATTATGGTGTATTCATAGAAATATGTGATTATTAATTTAATTTCTCCACTAATTATAGATCTGATTATATTTTCTGTTTCTTCACAATTCAGTCTTGGTAGATTGTATATTTCTAGATCTGTCCATTTCACTACCCAATTTTTTTTGCACACAGGTGTTCATGGTACTCTCTTATAATCCTTTTATTTAGGAAAACTGATAACAATCCCCTGATTTAATTTCCAATTTGATTTATTGAGTCTTTTCTCCCCTTTTTTTCCTTAGTCAATATAGCTAACAGTTTGTCAATTTTGTTGATTTTTTTTTCAAAGAACCAGCTCTTGCTTTCACCGTAAATTTTCTTTTCTTATTCTCTATTCTATTTATCTCTTCTCTAATGTTTATTATTGATTTGAGATACTCTTGTTAAAATGTATTTGCAGCTAAAAATTTTCCTCAACACTGTTTACACTGTATCCCATAAATTTTGGTATGCTGTATTTTCACTATCATTTGTCTCAAGATTTTCTTTCTACTTTTCCTGTGATTTGTTTATATATATATATATAATATATATATATATACGTATATATATTTATATATATATTCATATATATTTATTTTACATATATATTTTATTTTACATATATTTATTATATAAATATATATACATTTACATTTACATATATTTATTTTACACACACACACACACAGACACACACACACATATACATACATTCCAAATGGTCTGTAGTGTTATTCATGTCCCCTGTTTCCATATTGGCTTTCTGCTTGGTTGTTCCATCCAASATTGAAAATGGGGTCTTGGGTCTGGGGTTGTATATCAGCAGTAAAGCGCTCACCTAGCATGTGCAGGGCACTGGGTTCTATCCTCAGCACCACATAAAATTAAAATAAGGTATAGTGTCCAACTACAACTAAAACAAAATATTTTTAAAAAATAAAGGGGCCTGGACATGGTGGAACATGCCTGAAAACTCAGCAACTATGGAGCCTGAGACAGGAGGATCACAAGTTCAAGGCCAGCCACAGCAACTTAGCTGGCTCTAAGCAACTTAGTAAGACCTTGTCTCAAAAT